TATCTATCTATCTATCTATCTATCTATCTATCTATCTATCTATCTATCTACCTACCTATCCATCCATCTATCCATCTATCCATCCATCCATTGATCTATCATCAATCTAATCTACTTAATATATTTGCTGTCCATCTCATAACAGAATGATTCTGGGTGGAGTACAGCATAATATATTAAAATCATAACATATATCTCTAAAACAATACAAAAATAAAATTATGATTGAAAGATGAGGAGGGGGGAATAAGATGTGCTGGGGGGGAGATTGCTCTTAATTTTCAAACCACCTCCAAAGAGAAATGCAAACATCAAAAAGAAAGTCACCTCTGATGAGATACCTTAGCTGGAATCCATTGATCGTAGCTTACGGCCACGGGATAAACTTATCTTGATTCTCTAAAAGGACCATCAATGCCGTACACATCTGGATGGCCTTCCAGCGTGCATACACACTCCATAAGCTTACAGGCCTATCCATACTCACACACATATTAACACATTGACCTACCCATCATAGGTCACAGTCAATCCAGCCACTGGGTGGTTGTCACAACCCAGCATTAGACACAGAAATATGAAGGCAAATCCGATGAATGATGCCGTGTATCCCATTTTTGTAGCAGAAAGGATTCCTAGCTTGTACTTTTTCATGATGAACCCACCTAAAAACATCCCAAGAAGGACCATTGGCAAAATGGCAACCGCTAAAATAGATTAAAAAATAAACAAGGAGAAAGTAAAAGTCACATTCCTCCATTACCATCGGATACTCAAGATGAGCAAAAGAAACATGGACATAATTGCAAATAGAGGGAAAGACGAGTATATACAGATTATACAGATTAACAGAGTTGAAAGAGACCTTGTAGGTCATCTAGTCCAACCCCCCACCCAAGCAGGAGACCCTACACCATTTCTGACAAATGGCAGTCCAGTCTCTTCTTGAAAGCCTCCAGTAATGACGCTCCCACAGATTCTGAAGGCAAGGTGTTCCATTGATTGATTGTTCTCAATGTCAGAAAGTTTCTCTCCTTATTTCCAGGTTGAATCTCTCCTTGTTCAGTTTCCATCCATTATTCCTTGTCTGGCCTTTGGATGCTTTAGAAAATAGCTTGACCCTTTCCTCCCTGTGGCAGCCCCTCAAATATTGGAAGACTGCTATCTTGCTATCCCGCTTGGGCCGGGAGGGTGGACTAGATGACCTATAAGGTCCCTTCCAACTCTGACTATCTGTTATCTGTTAATTCAGCATTTGTTCCTGAAAAATGACCCTCCCAACTGCCTCTCCTTTAAACTCCATCGCCAAGTGTGCCTTGTGAAAGGAATCAGGGCCCTTTCCTCCCCTGTGAGCCACACAACCCACTTAGCTCTTTCCTGCGTTCTTCCCTGCATGCCCTAGGATGTGGAGGGGGGGGGGCTTGGTCTTCATCTGAACCACCTCTCCCTTGTTCTACCTCTACCCTGCTCTGCCCAGCCTGACTTTGCCCTTCCCCAGTTTCCTCCACAGCCAAGGGAGCCACACTCTGTCAGCTGTTCATCTTCTTCCTCAGATTCAGATTCCCACGGGGGCATGACAGTTCCTTAATTTACTTGGTCTATTAGGAAGCTCTGGTACAAGCAGATGTGGGTGTGTATGTGTGTGTAAAGAAGAGAAAAAAAGGAGGAGGAGACAGAGAAAAGCTTGCCTGTTATAAAATTAGATCTCGACATTGACAGTCCATATTGCTGTTCCATATATTTTGTATGGTAGGTAATATATCCAATTAAACTGCTAGTTTTTAGCAGCGATGAGCACAATAGTATTAAGTACAATTTGTTCCCCAAGATTCTCTTCAGGGACTTGTAGAACTCTGCAAGGGTGGGGGGAGGGAAAAACATGTCTGTTAGCATACACATATGAAAGATATCTACCAAATATTTGTCCAGAAAAGCTAAAAGTCCAGTTGTGTCTGACTTTAGGAAGTGGTGCTCATCTTCACTTCTTAGCTGCGGGATCCAACATTGTCCAAAGATACTTCTGTGGTCATGTGGTCAGCATGATTATATGACAAGGTGCACGGAATGCTGTTACCTTCCCACTGAAGTGGTACCTATTTATCTATTTGCATTTGCACGCTTTTGAATGGCTAGGTTGGCAGGAGTTTGGACAGGAACAGGAGATCATCCCATCACACAGTGCTTGGGTCTCAAACTGCCAACCTTCCGGTTAACAAGTATAGCATGTTTACTGCTAAGCCGTTGCATTCCCTTGTCCAGAAAGCCTTAGCGAATCTGTGTCCATCCATAGTCCAAGCAATGCCTTCTGCTTTGCCTCTTTGATTGTTGCTTTGGATATTGACTCTGTTGCCTGCCCCCACCCACCTGATTAAAATCAGATAACGAATAGTAAGAAACAGGAATCCTACAGGCAAATGTGTGGTTGTACATTCCAGCAATGGACTGTACTTGGATAGGTGTTGGCTTCACGGGGCAAGCCGGAAACACAACAAGGTGAGCTAACTCTACGTTCTTGCAATGCTACATTGACAGAATCTTGTTAAGTCTGAAAATAGAGTCCTTCCCAGTGGTGGAATTCAATTTTTTTTACTACTGGTTCTGTGTGTGTGGCTTGGTGGGGAAGGATACTGTAAAATCTCCAGTCAGAGGTGGTATTTGCTGGTTCTCTGAACTACTCACAATTTCCGCTACCGGTTCTCCAGAACTGGTCAGAACCTGCTGAATACCTGCCTTGATCTCATCTTCTGCAATAGTTTGAATTTAATTTATGGAATACAAACTAAAGAACCCTTTTCCAGCAGTGACCACAATATGATTGACTTTTGTCTCAACATACGCCCACATAAAAATCATCACAATGACATAATCCCCAATTATAACTTCAAAAAAGGCAACTAGGATCTTATAGACAATGATCTCTCATCCCTTGATTGGCAATCTCTATTCACTGGATGCAATACTGTTGAAGACCATTACAACATATTTTTACTTGAAGTCAAAAGAGTCATCAAACTATACGTACCGACAACTCCCAAAAAAAAAAAAAAAAAACAGATTACCCATAACAATAAGGAAACTTCAATCCAAAAAGAAATCACTTTGGTGGAAAAACAAATCTGGTCACGTTGCCAATTTCAAAAGCCGATACAAAAATTTATGCCACCAGATAAAGACTGAATGCATCAATTATCATAATAAACAAGAGGAAAACCTTCTATGTACCAATTCCACCCGCACTTTTTACAATTTTGTAAACAACAAACTAAAAGACTTAAGGTCCATCCCACCCCTGAAAGGACCTAATGGTAAAGACTGCAATGATGACACCATTAAAGCCAACATGTTTAACACATTCTTTGGCTCAGTATTTGTAAATAGCAATGGATCATGCCCAGGATTTCCTAGCCGAACCACAGAAAACTACAATGATCTAATACATATCGATTTTACAGAAGACAATGTTGAAAAAGCACTATGCGATCTTAAACCATCTCTATCTATTGGACCGGATGGAATATGTGCCTACTTCTTAAAAAAGCTATCCACTGCCATAGCAGAACCTCTAAGCATAATCTTTGAAAAATCTTTCAGGACCAGCTGTTTGCCCAACTTATGGTCACAAGCCACGGTCATCCCCATCTTCAAAAAGGGAGACCCCAGCCTAGTTGAAAATTACAGACCAATCTCCATATGCTGTGTCACCTGTAAAGTCATGGAATTAATTATTAACCAATCCGTTATCCTCCACTTAGAAACAAACAACCTGCTCTCCAATAAACAATTTGGTTTCGGAAAAAAACTATCCTGTAATCTACAACTCTTACGCTGCAAAAACATATGGACTACACAACTCGATCACGGCAAAACAATAGACACAATCTACATTGCAATGACTTACCTGTCAATGAATACTTCAGCTTCAACTATAACAACACAAGAGCACACAATAGATACAAACTCAAGGTTAACCGCACCAAACTTGATTGCAGGAAATACGACTTCAGCAACAGAGTGGTCAATGTCTGGAATACTCTACCTGACTCTGTGGTTTCTTCCCCAAACCCCAAAAACTTTAACCGTAGACTGTCTACTATTGACCTCACTCCTTTCCTAAGAGGTCTGTAGAGGGCGTGCATAAGCGCACCAACGTGCCTACCGTCCCTGTCCTATTGTTTATTTTATTTCTCTTATATGTACCCATTTCATGTATTCATAACTATGTATATACTTATACCTATTATTTTGTAAGCAATTGACAAATCAAATAAATAAATAAATACCACCTTTGGTCCTTCCCCTCCATTTCCTTCACAGCCTAAGAAACTAGGGAGAGTTTTCCTATGAGTCTCTTGCCCAATTTACCAACCGACTGCAAGTTATCCTGTCTCTTATCTAATTGTTCCCTCGGCAGCATCTCTTTGTCTCTTTGTCTTGTCTCCCAAGACCCTTCCAATATGCCATTATAGTAGGACTCTCAGCTTTGGAAGCCATATTGAGACCAGATGCTCCTACACTGCCACATTTTGAGCCTGGGAAAATGGGAGGCGGGAATTTCTTGGAGTGTATGTAGTTAGACATAATAACATTCTTTTTCTAATTCAAGGTCATGTTATTTTGCGCATAAGTGAGTGGAAGTCTCGTTAGAACGGATGGTGATTGGGGCATGTGATGGGTGCAGGGGGTGGATTTGTAGGTTTTACTTATTGCAAGAAAGCCTGGAACTTTTAGATTCGGGATTCCCCAGTTGTGCCAGTTGAACTGTCCAAATAAAAGTAAGATGCCTGTCTCGGAGTTATTGGTTGGAGTGGAGGTTTTCTGGAATGCTGACAAGGACTTTATTTACAGGTGGTCCTTGATGTAACGACCACAATTGACCCTCAAATTTCTGTCTCTAAGTGAGACACTTGTTAAATGAGTTTTGCCTCATTTTATGATCTTTCTTGCCAGAGCTGTTCAGTGAATCACTGCAGTTGTTAAGTAAGGGACACATTTGTTAAGGGAAACTGGTTTCCACATTGACTATGCACATCAGAAGGTTGCAAAAAGTCATCACATGACCAGAACTCTGCAACAGTCATAAATTTGAACCATTTGCCAAGCATCTGAATTTTGATCACAAGACCACGCAAAGGTTGCAACGGTGATAAATAAGTCACTTTTTTCAGTGCCATTGTAACTTTGAATGGTCACTAACAAATGGTTGTAAGTAGAGAACAACCTGTATAGGAAATTCTCAGCTTCTTTCTGAGCACCACTGTCCACAAACCTGATATCCAATGTCAGGGTGCTCCTGTGTAGACTTGTCTATGCATAGTACTTCTCTATCTGTGACTTCCTGCACTATGGAAGTTTACATAGAGTTGTCAGTGTCCCTATGGCCTGAGTGGTGGTGGAAGAAACTCTGGTTTAAGATCTGAAACAACAAGACTAGGAATTGTGGTTGCTAGGGATGTGGCTCTAAGACCGTGTCTAATGTTTTGATTGCCATATCTCAGTCCTTCTCCTTTTGCCTTTCACCCCCCTTCTCCCCTTCTCGACCTTCTCTTCTCCCCTCACAACAGATCTTGAAACCTATCAATTTCCTCATCCTTCTTGTGGAAAAGAGTCCTCATCTAACTTTGACCCAGCGATATAGTCAGTTCTCCTAGAATCCAGATCTTGACCCTGGTGGAGTCTTTCCACAGATAAACTGAAAAATTTCAACGCTTACCTTTTAATTGTCCAGAGTTTGCCATTCCACCTTGAATATCAGGCTTCTGTCCATGGCTATTTTCATTGCTGCTTTCCATGGGATCCAGGTTTTTCTGGATACAGGCATCCTCCTTTTTGTCCAGACTTTTAGGCAGGAACAAGAAAGGGATTCCGGAAATCAGAATGATGACCCCGGCAACTAAAAAGTTCATCCACCATGCACCAACCCAACGCGAATCAGTTGGACTGATAGTTATTGTATCTAGAATAAGGAATGGAGAAAGCTGAGATCCATTATCTGGAACGTTGGTCTCATGGAGCTTTGTCAAGTCTGTGCATTTCACAGAACAACAAACAACAATACAGATCTTTGCTTTCATAAACGTACAGGGTGAATATCAGCATGGAAAAGGCTCTTGAAAGTTTGAGGGGAAGGGGAGTGAAGTGAACAAGGCAAGGATGTGTCCTCAGAGAACTGAACATGAAGGGCTTAGACAAGATGTCATGAAAATGAGTTTCAGGTAAAAGCAACTGCAAGAGAGAACGAAACTTTTAGATGACAGAAAGTGGGCAAATCTTTTGAGATAGGATCTCAAAATAGGATAGGGTAGGATGGGATGGGGTGGGGTGGGGTGGGACAGGACAAGGTAGGATAGCTTGCCTTCAGAAGTTGTGGGTGGTCCATCATTGGAAGCTTTCAAAAAGAGGTTGGACAACTATTTGCCTGAAATGGTATAGGGTCCCCTGTTTGAGTAGAAGTTGGAGTAGAAGACCTCCAGGTTCCCTTCCAACTGTTTTATTTTAAGTTCTAGGAAAGTTAATATCCCACTTCTACTGAGACTGAATCCTCACCACCACAAATTCAGGAGATAGAATTCTAACATTAAGATTGGCAACCATTGGTAGCTGCTCATCTCTGTAAGTCACTGGCTTGAGATGGACGGCTGTTGAAGTTTAATAAATAAAGTTGTCCAGTCCATTTTTAAAGCCCCCTAAATTGACTGCCATCCTCACAACTGGTGGCATCGAATTCCATAATTTTGCTATCCTTTGGAGAAACCATTGTTTCCTCTCATTGGTCCTGGATCTATCAGCATTTGGGTTCAGTTGTGATCCTGAATACTAAGATACTAAGATTGTGAAAGAAGGAGAAAAAAAAATGGTCTTGGTTTTACTGACCTTCCTTTGAGCTCCTTTTTTTCAATGGTTCTGATATTTCTTTTTCCCATTTAAAATGGGACTATTCTGCCTCACTAAGAATTCTGTTTGCTTTTAGTTTTACCCTTTTTGGTTCCACTGTATTCTTTCTCAAATACAGTAACTCTACATTTACAGCTCCGGTTAACTTAGGGTAGCCAACTTAGCTGGTCAGTTCTTCTTCCATCTTACCCATGTCCACAAAACCAACATCCACGTAGAGTCTGGCAAACACAGATCCCAGGAGGAAACCAGATATTGGGCCAAGCATGGCTGAGGTGTGCAAAAAGCCTGCAATAATGAAAGAGAAAAAAATCAGCTTATGGTATGTATATTCTTCACTGTTTTGTTTAGTCCAAACCAGACTTCTAATATTTGATGCAATGGATAAGGAAGCTGCAAAGATATACATTGAATACGTTGTTCCTCCCTCTCATAAGATCAGCAATACCATTCCGAAGCTAAAGAAGAGTGCTGATGTTCTTAGAAGAGACAGACCTGTACCTATCTCAGAAGCTAAGCAGGGTTGGCTGTGGTTGGTAGCTGGATGGGAGACTGCCCAAGAATTTGAAACAATATCCTGGAAAAAGACAGTGGAAAATCTGTTATCAGTAGAATTGCAAGAAAGCCTTCATCTAGAGCAGGACTCTCCAAACTTGGCAACTTTAAAGACTTGTGATCTTCAGCTTTCAGAATTCCCCAACCACAATGGCTGGTTGAAGAATTCTGGGAGTTGAAGTCCACAAGTCTTAAAATTGCCAAGTTTGGAGATCCCTGATCTAGAGGTGCATTAGCTGGAGAGCATCTTTGCTTCATATCCAATACTGTGCGATGTCTTCACAACTCAGCTAACAAAGAGGCATGTGTTCATAGCCCTGGAAGGGACTTTGGAGGTCTTCTAGTCCAACCTCCTGCTCAAGCAGGAAGGGAAACCCTATACCATTTCAGACAAATGGCTGTCCAATCTCTTCTTAAAAACCTCCAACTTCTGGAGGCAAGATGTCCTATTGATTAATTGTTGTAACAGTCAGGAAATTTCTCCTTAGTTCTAAGTTGCTTCTCTCCTTGATTAGTTTCCACCCATTGCTTCTTGTCCTGCCTTCAGGTGCTTTGGAGAATAGCTTGACCCTCTCTTCTTTGTGATAGCCCCTTTAATGTTGGAACCTTGCTATAATTATACTAGACATACCCAGTCATTCTTTATATGTTTTAGCCTTCAGTCCTGCAATCATCTTTATTGCTCTTTTCTTCAGTTTTTCTGGAATCTCAACATCCTTTTTTATATCACGGTGACCAAAACTGGATGCAGTATTCCAAATGTGGCCTTACCAAGGCCTTATAATATGGTACTAACACTTCACATGATCTTGATTCTATCCCTCTATTAATGCAGCCTAGGACTGTGATGGCTATTTTTCCTTCAGCTTTTCATGGGAATGTGATTTATGAATGCCAATTTCTACTACATCCAATAATGAATAGAATTTGCTGTGACCTAAATTTGGCATTTGACAATTTAGGAATTTTCCCAACTTGCCAAGAAGTAGGAAAACCAGTTTGAACTATCCCAGCTTAAACATTGCCTATCTCTTCAGTATCATTAAGTTCAGATCAGGATTTGACAGACAAGCATTTTGGTCATTACTGATATATAGAGGAACATCTTCTTCTTTAGAAAAATCATCGAGGTACGATATGCCCAGAGGGGTAATTGGGGTTTCTCCAATTCCACGTAGCATATTCCCCAGCAAGACGAAAATCCATGCATAAGATGTAACCATTTTATGGGCACAGTCTGCAAAGAATAACAATAATGGCAGGAAAAGTCATTACGTGCATCATATCTTTTGCTAAAAAACCACAAATTGTCATACCGCTAGAGTCCAGAGTGCAAAATAATAAGTGTGGTGAAACCATAGACGGAGGTATAATAGAATAAAAATGTGCTTACGATAATATATGACTAGCAATAATATATGACTCTATCATTTGTGTTTGTATAACTGTCCGGTTTGGTACAGCAGCCAAACAGGACAGGTGCAGATTTCAACGGATAGTTAGGACTGCAGAAAAAACAATGGCAACCAGCCTGCTTTTCACCGAGGACCAGTATATTGCAGAAGCCAAAAAGAGGGCTGGGAAAATATCTATAGACCCCTTCACATCCTACCCTCAGGATGTTGTTATAGGGCATTGCCAAAACAAGAAGACACAAATTTTCTCCTCATGTCATCGCTCTCCTGAACCCCTAATTTCACAGTTCTATTATCTTTCTAATCTTTCCTACTACCTTCTGTTATTGATATCATTATTAATGATTATGATTATTTTGTTGGTTTGTATGTACACTAAGAGCTTATGCATTGGAGACAAATTCTTGTGTGTCTAATCACACTTAACCAAATAAATCTATTATACTGAGTTTCACCCAAAATAAGACCCTGTCTTATATTTTTTTTTGCCACCAAAAAAGCACCAGGTCTTATTTTGGGGGGATGTCATCCACTGACCAACCTCATTTGTGCGTGTCGCCCCTGGATTCCTTTTTGCTGTCAGATGCCTTCAGGAACTTCTTCTTCTGCAGCCAGCAAGGCTTTCCTGAAGGCCTCTGCAGCCGATAAAAAGAGCTCTGGACTGATCCAGAGCTTTGTTATCAGCTACAGAGGCCTTAAGGAAAGCCATCCTTGCTGGCTGCAGAAGAAATGGTCCAGCAAGGGAGGTGTCGGGGTGTGTGAGGTCTGGCTACAACTGTCCAAGGTATATCAGCCCCACCCCCCCATCCCCACCCTAGCTTAATTTTTAGCCATGCATTCTGGATGGGTGGGATTTTAATTAGGGCTTATTTTGGGGGTAGGGCTTATATTGGGTGCACATGTAAAAATCAAGCTAGGACTTACTTTCAGGGTAGGTCATATTTTGGGGGAAACAGGCTAATCTAATCTATTATCACCACAGTGCCTAACCATCAAGAGATATTCTGTAGTATTAAGCAGTACCAGAAGCAGTGACACTACAGTGCTATTTTCTGGATGTTTCCATAGTCGGGTGCATCCAAATAATGATACTCAAATCAGGATAAATCCAGTCAGCTATACTGTTACTTTAGTTGGGTCATGTTCCACTACCTTTTCTATAGATTTGAGCATAGTTTCCACCGCTACCCCTATATTTTGTAATGTAAGCTCGTTCTTAAAAGGAACTTTCTACTTTGTGTACTCAACTTTCAAAGGCAGATTGACAATTGCAGACTCCATGCAGTGGTGTACTGTAATGGAGTCCATTTTTCTGGTTCCCATAAGTATATTTGATTTTAAAAATCCATGATATATTTCTTTGTTTAACGCGAGAGACTGATATCCTCCGACGACAAGCCACAATTAGCTAAGTAAATAAAAGATTAGGGTCACCAGAAGAGGTGAAATTAAGAGAATCATTCTGTTGAATAACCCAAATCGGTCGTTTTGGAGCAGATTTGTCAATTATGCTTCAATCAATACTATCTCTAAAGTTCATGTCCTGCTCCATGAAGAAATCCCATATCTAACTGCTCCCTTTTACCTCTCATGGAGTGATGTCACTATCACCACCTAAGGGTATTATCTGAAGGAAACTTCTAATGGTCTGGCATCACTAAGCCCACTCCGTGGCCTGAGCAAAGAGGACATATGAGTATGAAAACATTAAATTATAGTTTTGGGTAAGATACATAATATGTTGCAGCAAAGTAAAGAATTAGCATATAACATTTTGATTTGCTGGCAACTTTCTACCAGCTATTCAAAAGACAGGTCAGAACAATTGATTATTCTTACCTGACCCTTTTATCTTGGGCGTATCCTGGGGATTTAATATGCAGGGGGAGAAACTGGAGATGTTGTCTGATGTGAAGGATATTGTGTCATATTGGTAACTGGAAAAGAAAGAGGTTAATCCTAGTGTGAGCACAAATACATTTAGAGGCAGGGGTGAGTTGCTATGGGTTTGCTCAGGTTCAGGTGGATATCTTGTTAACGTTATGGTTGGTTCAGTGAACTGCCAAATCCCACCCCAGCTGGCCCTGCCCACCCCTCCCCTCCCAGGAGACTCCACATGGCCCATTTTGGATGCCGAGATAAGTTCAGGGCCTGTGTGGAGGCTCAAAATGGGCCTCCCAGAAGTCTTGGAAGTCTGAAAATGAGCTGGTTTCTAGCCTTCAGAGGGCCTCTGGAGCCAGGAGAAGCCATTTTTGCCTTCCCAGAGGTTCGAGGAAAGCCTCCAGAGCCTGGGGAAGGCAAAAATGGCCCTCTCGCTGTGATGCAGAAGGCCGACTAGGCAACACCCACCATGGTCACACGCACCCAGCAACCGGGCAGAGAACCCATTGCTAAAATCTTTGAAGTCCACCCCTGTTTAGAGGTACCCTTTCTCTGGCTGAAAATAATAAGACATATTTAGTATTTAAATATATATATATATCTAGTTTACTGTTAATATGAATATCATGGTTAGTTGTGGTTTATTTTATAATTTTATATTGTTTTGATCTTTTCATAGTTGTAGGTGTTACTTAAGAAGTGTCTATAAATATATATAGAGAGAGACTTATCAATATCAATCTTGCAAGTCTGAACATACAAACTTCCCACTACCATTTTTAACCCCCTATTTACTATAGCAGGTTCTTCCTAAGTTTCTTTCTCTGAGCATTGATCATTGAAGTTTTCTCCCTCTCTTGCCTCCTAGGACAATTAGCTGCAGCTAACCCACAACAGTGTCAGGGCTCCGGCAGTTACCCCCATTTAGATCATGAGTCTTGAGCCAAACTTCCAAAACTTAAAGAAGATTTATTAGGAGTAAACATCCTGGCATTGCCTGGGTGTAGCTGACCCTAAGGCACATTATTTATAGTCACCCTTGACCTGGGTTTTCCTCCACCCCCTGGGTGTATCATAATTCCTATTCTCCAATGAGACACATCCATAGCCAAGTGTCATCAATCGTTCTCTCCAGTTAGAATTTTGCACGGCAGAAACTTCAGTCATCTAGTTACTATCTTTGAAAACATTTATGGAATGCAAGCTGCCCACTGCTCCCCCTCCCTTTCTGTTGGTAACTCTAAAAAGACCATAGAAATATTTTATGAGTTGACACACAGTCAATTTGCTTCAGCCAACTCATTACGGTAAGTTATCCCATGGCCAATTTGCCCTGGGACAACTCACCACAGGACAAAAGTTACACTAATATCAAAGAAATGGTGGAGTAGAATCACTAAACAAACCCTGGGGAGAGAGAGAGAGAGAGAGAGAGAGAGAGAGAGAGAGAGAGAGAAATGTGAATGACAAAAATTAAAACATTTTTTAAAAATTATTTTAAGTAGTTAAATTGTTGAATCGTTGACTTGTCCTGTGGGTAGGGTTGACCCAGGTGAGTTGGCCCTGGTGAGAGTCTCCTTCTGCTCCTTAGACAAAACCTCTTTCCCTTGACCCCCAAAGCCATCCATGCATTCCATTACATTTCTGCTGGATAACTAGGCTCAGAGTAATTCTATTTTGTCAACTTGGATTTACAGTCAAGAATGCTGTATGATTACTGGTTTGGCATCGGTGCAGGACAGTTGTGCGTAGTGGGGTTCCGCTAAAGCAGAGGTCTCCAAACTTGGCAACTTTAAGACTTGTTGACTTCAATTCCCAGAATTTGGGGAGCCCTGGGCTAAAGTCATCCTCCCTAGATGAGACAAATCTAAATGATTCGCTCCCATAACTGGTAGAGTTTCTTATAGGTCCCACATGGATATTTTATCAACAGTAAAGATAATCTATGAAAGGAATTGAAAAAGATCTCATTTTCTCTCACTCTCGGTCTCTCATACTTACTATCCCATGAAGAAATGAGGCAATGCTATTAAGAAGCACCCCAAAGACATGATAAAGCAACCAATGGCGATGATTTTTGGCCGATGACATTTTGCCCCGAAGTAACTCACAAAGGCAATCACCAACAAATTTCCTGGGAAGATAATATAGAAGCTCTCCATTAGGTCATGATGCCATGCAGAATAACAGAATGACAGAGTTGGAAGGGACTTTGGAGGTCTTCTAGTCCAATCCCCTGCTCAAGGAGGAGACCTTATACCACTTCAGACAAATGGCTGTCCAATCTCTTCTTAAAACCTCCAGTGGTAGAGCACCCCAAAGTTCTGGAGGCAACCCCTTCCATTGCTTAATTCTTCTTACCATGAGGGAATTTCTCCTTAGTTCGAGGTTACTTCTCTCCTTGATTCCATTGATTAATTGTTCTGTCAGGAAATTTTTCCTTATTTCTTGATTGGTTCTCCCCTCGATTAGTTTCCATCCATTGCTTCTTGTCCTGCCTTCAGGTGCTTTGGAGAATAAATTGACCCCCTCCTCTTTGTGGCAGCCCCTCAAATCCTGGAAGACTGCTGTCATGTCACCTCTAGTCCTTCTTTTCTCTAGACTAGCCAAACCCAAATCCTGCAACCATTCTTCATAAGTTATAACCTTCAGTCCCCTAATCATCTTCGTTACTCTTCTCTGCACTCTTTCTAGAGTCTCAACATCTTTTTCATATCATGGCTACCAAAACTGGAATGCAGTATTCCAAGTGTGGTCTTACCAAGGCCTTACGCTAAACATATACATTTATACGAAACTTATACACTAAATGTATATGCTAAACAAATAAACTAGGGCATGACAATTGCTGAATGACGTTGAATTCTAGCTGTCAAAATCTTGTGATGGATTAAGACCAAGGTAGTCCTTGGGCTCCTGGATACCAATCCATTTTAGAGCCCTTTCTCCCAATCTCCCATTATTGACAGAGGTCAATAATGTTGTTGGAAGTTAAAAACCACCTCTCTCCTAGGAAAATGAAATGTTTTAGGATATACTAAAAAGGCAAAATATTTCCCCTAAAAGAGAAGTGGAAACTCAGAGAGGCAGAAACTCAGCCCCCTCCCAACCTTTGTTAATGGGCAATTAAGGCCGGGCTCAGTCTATTTTACATAACAAAGATCTACTTCAGGTAGAGCCATAATAGGAATTGCCCAAAGCTCTTTCATTGCATCATCATCCAGCAAGGCTCAACCAAGCCTGGCGCTCAGGACAGCCTACAGAGTTGCCCCTGCATGGCCCCATGGGAGTCTGATGACCAATCAGAACACAAACTCAAATTCAAATCCCAACAGAGGGCATAAAACCAAGGGATTCTCAGCATATCAGCCCATTTTTTTTTCTACCCAGGAGCTCCCAGGCATGTGATCCTGTCCACCATTAAACCATCTTTCCAAACAGCCTCCATGTTTCCAGTGTTTCTTTTCCCCCACCTGGAACCGAACCCAGAAGGATATTTCTTCCAACAATGTAATAATCCCTATGACCTCAAGCTCTCCATCCACAGCTAAACCTCTTCCTGGTTTCAGTTTCCACCTACCCATTTCAAAGCCTCCATCAATGAAGCCAGCAGTAGAGGAAGTAATGCCAAATCTCCTTTCCAGTTGCGTGAAGGAACTTTTCATCGTGGCCCCAGAAAATGCTTTACTAAAGTATGAAAATGCCAGGGCAGCAATGAAAACCTGAGAATAGATGGAATTGAGAGAGAGGGCAGGAGAAAGGAAGGAAGAAAAAAAAAATGAGAACTCTAATTTCCTCTTGAAAATGAGACGAACGTTCCCAATCCTTGACGGATTCATGATCTTTCCAAGAATAAGTCTGGGTTTTCTCTCCATTCTATCCTACCACCAAAAAGGAAACTTAGGAAGTCAATGCTTTTAGCCACTTTCAATGGCAAAGTGTTATTTTAAAATTGTATGCAGGTAGTCCTCAACTTATGGCCACAATTGAGCCCAACACTTCTTTTGCTAAGTGAGACATATGTTAAGTGAAGTTTTGCCCCATTTTACAACCTTTTGTTGCCCCAGTTGTAAAGTGAATCACTAGAGATGTGGCTGGGTGGCTTAGGAAAGCAACCAACAGAAAGAACATAAACCCACAATACACACGCTGACAAACCACAGATAAATAGTAAACAAATGACAAACCAAGGAAGACTAAATCCTTCCTTCCTTCCCTCCCTTCCTTCATTTCTCTCTCTTTTCTTCCTCTCTTTCTCCCTCCCTTTCTCTCCTTCCTTCGTCTCTTTCTCCTTCCCTCCCATGCTCCCTCCTTCCATCCCTCCCTCCTTCCATTACTCTTTCTTTATTTTTTCTCTTTCCTCCTTCCTTCCTTCTTTCCTCTCTTCCTCCCCAGCTGATAGTTGTTTAAATATTATCCATTTTGTCAACATCATCTTTTCCTCCAATTATATAAAAGCTACCATATAAAATGGTTACAGGTGAGTTGACAAAAAAAGATTCAACTTTGAACATTGGGGTGTTTATGGCTATGCTACAAAAGGTAATCAAAGGTCAGGGTTTTGTTCCGTTCTTGTTTATCTACTGGCTAGCGGATGGATTGATTTGCTCAAGGGGACTGGAAAATGTAGAAAGATAAGCTTTCATTCTAAAGCAGGGGCCTTCAAACTTGACAGATTTAAGACTTGTGGAAGTCAACTCCCAGAATTCCATCCTCCAGTCATGTTACCTCAGGAATTCTGGGAGTTGAAGTCCACAAGTCTTAAACTTGCCAAGTTTGAAGACCCTTGTTCTGATGTATCTTGAAGAGAGCAGTTTGGTGGAATGTTCAGATCAATTCCCCCGTCGTGGGGATGGAAATGTCAGTTTTCTTGACCCATGGATTGATCCCACCTCCTAGAAAGAAATGACAATAGAATCTTCCAGAAGATGGTACAGTTACAGTTTAAGACTGCAAGATCTCATCTTTGTTTCTCCCAAAGCAGAACAGCTTTCAACAGCTCAGACCAGCCACAAGTGTTCAAGAAGTTGCTTGAGGGGGATTGTTGTGTGTTTTTAAACCAGATTGCCAGAAGATCCATTCAGGACCACCCATTATTTTGAAACGACATTTCTCCAGTTATGGTTCCAAAGATTCATCCAAAGATCTTTTGAAAGAGCTTGTAGTCTCAACTCTCTGATGGCAGAAGGACTACAACCCGGTGCCAGTCCTGGAAATACCGTGTCTTTATCTGGAAGCAGTGGTGGTATTCAGCCAGTTCTCACCAGTTCACCCAAACCGTTAGTTAATTACTTCTGCAGTTCGGAGAACCGGCTAAAAATAAAGTGCAAGAGGTTTTTTTTCCCCCTCTATCTCCCTTCATTAATATCTCCAGGCAGACAGACAAGAACCACTTAACAGTTGGAGCTGGAGCTGAATCAAGTCAATAAACAACAGAAACTGACAGAATTAGGGCAGGAAAACCCACCAATCACCCATCTAGGGATGGGATTAACCTCTTCCCTTCAGGAAGAAGAACAAGATTGCAAACATTTTCATTATAAAGACTATTAAGTAACACTTCTGTGATCAGCTGATAGGCCCTGGAGTTCCCCATGACCTTTTATAGCTGCTGCAGCGTTGGGTACTTCTTGTTTCTTCCTGGGGGAAAAGATACAGGAGGGGACAATGATGCAGCTTGATCATACAGACCATGAATTTAAATGCATGTGTGGTCCAACCAGCTGTATTGTTTCTGCTGTGAAGCACCGAATTTAGAACATAGAGAACATAGAATAATGGAGTTGAAAGGGTTAATGGCTTTTGGCAGCATGCCCAGGCTTTCAATTAGCATGAGTGGCTGCTCTTAACTTCCCTTTCAGCTGCTGCATTTGCTTTGGGGTTCACTTTTTTTAAAAAGGGGAATGGCTGTTTTAAGTTTTCTGCATTGTTTTAGTGGTTCCTGGCACTGTCCTTTTGGGATATACTTCCCTCGCTCTTTTTGAAAGCCTTTAGTGATGGAGCACCCACAACTTTTGAAGACACCATTGGTTGATTGGTCTCACCCTGAGGAAATTTCTCCTTAGTCCTAGGTTGCTTCTCTCTTTGGTAAGTTTCCAACCATTGTTTCTTGTTGTGACTTTTGGTGCTTTGGAAAATAGATTGACTCCCTCATTTTTGTAGGAGCCCCTCAAATTTCCTGACAGAACAATTAATCAGTGGAAAAACTTGCCTCCAGAAGTTGTAAATGCTCCAACACTGGAAGCTTTTAAAAAGTGTTTGGGTAACCATTTGTCTGAAATGGTGTAGGGTTTCCTGCCTAAGCAGGGATTTGGAATAGAAGACCTCCAAGATCCTTTCCAACTCTGTTATTCTATTCTATTCTATTCTATTCTATTCTATTCTATTCTATTCTA